ACTAACAAACCAACATAAATTATAATACTATAGTCATCGGTAACTGAAAGATATCATTCAAAGGTTAACAGTGTTATTTAGATGGAAGATTAATTAATTATTATTAAACGAATTTTTCATACTGGTAGATTTATTAAGGATCGCCTAGGCACCTTAGGGATTATAGGAAAATAAAGTAATTTAGAATTGCTATTTAATCCTTCGTATCCTGACGATACTTAAAAATAACGCTTTATATTATAAGTCCTCAATTTCACTACCTCTGACAACAATTTCTCATGGTATTCTCTATGACGTGAAACTATATATACAATATATTATATATATATATATTATAAAATACATAAAATTATTATAATTTATATTATTATAATTTTATTTCGTATAGTCAAACAGTTTTTATATCAATTAATTACAACAAACGAATCTTTCACATTACTTTATACAGGGCGTATAAATATGCGTAACAATAATTTACATGGAAAATGTATCGATGAACTTTCATTGTCAGTCAATTATATTAAACGAATTAATTAACTGATCCAATTGCCGGAGAAATTTAATTCCTCTACATGGTACTCTTTCGAACGTTCGACGACCTCGATCGTCCCAGAATTCACGAATTCTCATTCCCAGTCTCGGTGCATCTTCTTCAATAACCTCTCGACTTGTACGCCTCGATTTTAAAAATCAATCCGACAAATAAATCCTCATCTACTGCTCGGCACCCTTCCTCGCGGCGCGAGAACGTCACCCCCTCAAAGGGTTAATTAACCCACACTCCTCGTGCAGAAAAAATAATTCAGCCCGATTAACAGCCAACAATCTCCGCTCGATCGAACAGCTGTACTTTCGTATTAATTACGATCCTCGCTCCTGCTCCCTCTCCCGTCAGCTCTCTGTCGTCTTTACGTTTACGTAGGCATAGAGAGCCAAAAAAAAAAAAAAAAAATTCCAAATTTTCACCTAACGCGGCCGCACACGCTTTCACACGTTATAAGCAAGCACACGTACGTACACGCACGCGAGCGCTTATCATCCCGTTTTACCACGAAGGGTGTATTTTTATTCGCATAATTAGATACCCATCAATCCTGCCGATGGCAGTTCGCCCCGTCTGCCTCCCTTGCATTTATAATATAACCGTGGCTGGACAGGGGTAGGGGTTGAAAAATGCGAGAAGAAATACGCTGGAAGCTCCGTCGTATATAAATCGTATGTACTTGTATAGATATATAAGGGAGAGGTGGGTAGGAAAAATCGTTGGGGAGATTTTCCAGCGGATTCTTCGGTGCCGTGAGAAAATTATAAATTATAAATACACATCGAATAAAGTGGAGCAATCGGTTTCGCGGTTTAGCCGGGGGGCGGCGGTTCGATTCGGGCATTATCCGTCGTCCCTCCGCGCTACCAAGGGTGCAATCGAAACGAGGACGGACTTCCTGGGGGACACGTGCTGCCGGCCAGATATTAGGCATTCTTCGGATATTCGGCATGGAAAATTGCGCGGCAACGGAGGAAACTATTATTGCCGGAATATTTAGTCTCTTATTGTTTAGGGATAATCGATGGTGTCGGAGGGGGTGGCGATGAAACGCGAGGGACGAGAGACGAGGCCCGGGCGCGGGCTCCGGTTATCATACTCTACTCATATAGAACCAAATTTTTCCCTATTTCGAAATGTTATTAACTTCCGAACCAGGTCGATCAAACATCATCTGCATACAAAAACCGCGACAAACCGGATGCTCCAACTTCCCCCCGGCGGTGTCACAGACCAACCAGACCACAGAAACTCGTCCCTGAAATCCGGATCGATCGGACATTATTTGAAAAGTCACAAGTCTGCTCGATGGCCAGCGAATGGCGCGTTGGGGAATATCTAAAAATCCGAAACAAACAAAACAGGGCCGAAAAAAAAAATAAAAAGAGAGAGAGAGAGAGAGAGAGAGAGGAGAAGAAGAGCAAGCAGGCGGGTAGCAGCGAAAAATGAATTCCAACAGGTACGAGAGAAATTGCCACAATCCGGTTAAATGGCTTAATATCGCCTTAATAACAGTCGAGACAGTGGTTGTACCCGGTTTTTCTTTCTTTCTTTTCTTTTTTTTTCTTTTTTTTTCTTTTTTTTTTTTTTGGATTAGTTCACGTCGATGGAGAGATCTCCTGATCGCTAGACGCTGCCACCCACTCTCACTGGCTGTCGCCCACTTCGGAACCAGCGTTGTTGCCCGGATATAAAATATACACGTCGCTAGATATCCTGACTAGCTTCGAATATGTGTGCACATCGGCATATTAAGAGCGTTTCGTTCGATTCCCCGTGTGCCCGTCCGTGTACGTGTATGTATATCGCGCGCTCGTTCGCGTACCAACCTCGAAAACCAGCGACCAGCGGGGGTAGGTATTGTGTTTATATGCATATCGGGGGAAGCCTCCGAGTCTCCCTTGTACTCGAACTCGGCGTTTTCCAATATTCCAGCCGAAACTCTCGACCGAAAAGCCCGGCCTTCGAATCCGTGTGTCTGCCCAACCCTTTCCACCCACACCACCCGCCTCTGGCCAGTGTACATCGAACCGTCATATTTGGACAAAATCGAACGTATCCTATCTAAACGTTTCTCCCTCCCCCCTCCTCCCACCGCCTCGTCGCATCCTACGAAGCCATATGTACGTTTTTTTTCACCGGTCCTCTTCTTTTCGGACTCGGCTGGGGTGATGCTGCTGGCTCGTCGAGCCTCTTTTCTGTCGCTCTTCGTTCGGTTCTCTGCTAGATTTCCTCTTTTCTTTTTTCCCCTCGTTCTCTCTCTCTCTCTCTCTCTCTCTCTCTATCTTTTTTCGTCTTTCTGTCGTACTAAGTCGAACGATTTTTAGGAAGCTTCGATCGTTATCCGTGGCTTCGAAACTGATACACTCGAGGGCTCGGCGTTTCGATGGGTGGAACGGTCTGGTGTTGTCGAGTGGTTACGAGATCGAAAAGTCGGAGAACTCTTTTTTGGTACGGCGGATGGGTAGAAGCGGTGTAGCGAGATCGGGAAATTGGTTAGGAGTTGAAGTTTACAAGTTTCCGAGGCCTGACTCGTTTACGAAAGGAAAGCGCAGGAGTGCTGTGTTAACTGGCTCCGGATCCGCTTCGTTAACCGACCGCGTCTATATTCCCGTCAATTCTTGAAACCGACTTCACGAAGCGGGCTTCTGGCATTACGTACTCGCTGCAGTCACGATCGCGCCTAGATCAATCAGCGTGTCCACTTAATGGTTTAATTTACGACCTGACTGTATCTGCTCCATCAAGTGTCTACGTATGTATGCATCGTAATCGCACTTGAGCCAGTTTTAGATATGCTGGTTCAGTTTGCAAATCGAGAGAGAGCCAAAATGCAAATATTCTTTTAAAGTTTATTTATAAATCATGCACTCGGGCAATAAAGTTAGCAGAATGTAGAGGAATTCGGACTTCAAATTGGAAAATAAAAGGACTGTAAAGGTCTTTTGACATTTAACTTTGTATTTATGAAAATCCATTTATGATGGTAATGAAATTAAAGAAAAAGTGTAGGAAAGTTCGGATTTTAAAATTGAAAAACAGGAAAATGTAATCACGATTATTCATTTATAAACTTGTGAAAGTAAGTCAGTTGAATACCAATCACAATAGAACTTGAGAATGTAGAAATATTTCAAATTGAAAAATAACGGGGAATTTAGCAACTTTTAGTTTGATATTCATCACTATTCATCACCATTCGCAGGCTTATAGAAGGAGATCAGTTTCTCAATCGTTAAGATTACGTCTGTCTTCTTGACTTCTCAAAAAAGACGATACTCGAGACTTTCCAGAAACGTAATTGGCTAAACAAGGTCCCAGCTTGTAGCCAATTAGTCACCGCTGGCGTACACAAATTTTTATACGAAAAAAGAAATTCTCAAATGCAAACTTCGTGCATCTCCGGGTGTATACCAGGAATTTTCAAGTTCGATTACTCCCTCCTTCTGACTCCGCCATATTTGACCCAGTTTCTACGATCCTTAACCACCGCGCCCTATCTTCAACGTCGCTTCGACCCTTTCCCGATCCGCTGTCGTCGTTATCCCCGAAACTCGTGGCTGCAGCCGAGCCAATCGAAGGTGCGCATATAACAGACGCTGTATAACGGAAGGGCTGTAGCGAAGATCAATCGACAATCGTTAAAGTCCCGAAACGGCCGCCGAGATCCAAAGGTATCCGGCAGCGGGAGGGATGAAAGGAAAGAAAAGAAAGAAAGAAAAAAAAAAAAAACGCAGCTGCGTCAACCTGTCGTCGAGTTGGCCTGCTGGGGGGTTAGGGCGGCGGGATGGAGGGGGGACGAAAGCGGCGTATTTCCGAGTCGAAACGGCAGCAAAGATAGACGGACGCGCGTGCACACAAAGAGAAACACGCGCTGCAGGTTGGGTTGAGCGTGGACGAGAACGGGACGATGGCTAGAGCGTAAAGAGAGAGACAGCTTGTTCCCCGAGGGTGGGTTTGGAAAGGAAAATCGGTCCGGTTCGGGCAAAGGATTTATCCGTGGCCTCTCGACTAGGATTGAAATAGTAATATGTTATTGGTAAGCTCTCCTTTTACATCGGCAGCGCCAATAAACGCTGCAGACAGGTTAACGAACCGTCCGGCAAGCGTGCCGCGAGATAAAGACAGGGAGGAAACGAGAGTCGGAGTGTAGAGCCGTCAGAGAGTGTAGTCTGCGAGAGGAAAAGACAGACAGCCGGACGAGGTGCAGGGCTGGCTGCAGCGGGAAACGGCGGGAAGAGAGAGACGACGAAGGAGAAAGAGTATCAGAGAAAGGGAGGGGGGAGGCGGGGATAGAGAGAAGAAAAAAAAATAAAAGTGACCGTGGATGAACAGAGCCAGAGGGAGGGGTGAGGGAGTAGGAGGAAAGGGTAGTTGCGCTGGATGGAGATAGAGCTGGCAGATGTGTAGATTGAAAGGGGTGGGAGGGTGAAAGGCAGAGAGGCCGAGAGCAGAGAGAAAGAGAGAGAGAGAGAGAGAGAGAGAGAGAGAGGTCTGTAGAGAGGTGGCATCGCTAAACTGTCGACTTCAAGCTTTTAATTCGCGATCAAAGGCCCGTAACGATCCGTCGGAAACCCTTTCGCGGCGCTCTTGCCGACGTCAAAATTACTTTTAAATTCGCCCGGGCCCTGTCCTGCCCCCTCTCCTACCCACCCACCACCCCCATGGTCCCTCTCTATGACTGCCCTCTCTTTCGCCGCCTAGTCGATCGGCAACCACCCCTCGTTCACGATCCCTAACCCCTTCCGCGCCTCCCCTCCCTACGTCGATGGCCTTCGCCGCTCGTCCACTTTGCCGCTTTTTATAGGGCGGTCTATGGCCGGATACCGAATTCGGCCCGCTAGCTCGTAGGTAACGAGAGAAAAACGACACGAACAGGTGGTTCCGTCAAAGGTAATCGACTCTCTCTCTCTCTCTCTCTCTCTCTCTCTGCGGTAGATCGTCAGCCTTCCCTCCCCACATCGTGTCGAGTTCTTTCGAGAATCGTCCGACTATCGTCGACGATTACTTTCGGAAGCTCGGATCGGACTTTAGATTGCACGGGACGGAAACGAGCGTTGAAGACAGTCGGGTCGAAAGTAACAAGGAACGTGCGTGGGAGAGTAGATTTCGGGAGAGACTGAACGTTTCGTGGGAGAAGGGGTTTCGAGGTAGCTTCGATGAACAAAGGTCGTTGAAGTTCTTATAACCTGGTATATGACGTGAATTTCAGATCGATGAAATGACTCGATGTGTCATTTTTTGATGAACAAAGGTTGCCAAAGTACCATATACAGACGTGATCTTAGATCGACCACTCTAATTTTATTCGGGGGATGTTCAATTTTTTTTTTTTTTTTTTTTTTTTTTTGATGAAAAGCAAAAATTGCCAAAAGTTTTATAATACGCAGATGCGTTTTTCAGATCGATTCCACACAGTTGGATCTTTCCTTTTTAAATTAGCCAATGTCTGGCGAGTTTTTCAACGGAAATACAAGCTTAGATGATTCGAAACGACGCAATGAAGATGTACAAGTAAAATAAAATCGATGAATTTTCAATCTTCCTCGGCGTGGAGCTAACGTAATATTTCACAAACCCTCCGTGCTCGTCCCGTTAAACAATATTCTTTTCACAGTGTTTCGAACGTGACACGCGATTCTAACTTGAGCGACGCGTCAACGACAACGATATGCCTCTTTGTCCCCTCGCAAACAACTAATCTTCTTTTCAGGTACCTAGAACCTTGGCGTCACTATGAAACATTTTAACTTCATACGCGTAATTGACATTGACAGCTAAATGTCAACTCGTTCATTTATTCTGGTATCGCTTGAATCGCTTTACCGCGAAGGCAGAGATTTTTCATAGTGCGCCAAGGATCTATAAGGACTTTCACCGAGAGTCGAGCGCCTGGATCGAGCGTGTCCGGGTGTGGCGAGCGGCGAAAGAACGCAAACGCAATGAGACAGACCGCTGAAAGAGCGAGGAAAGAAAGCTAACGAGGGCGAAATCGCGCGGATCGTCCCTTTCGGGGAGTGTGCTCTTTTTTCCAAAAAAAAAAAAAAAATAATAATAATAAAACACCTGCTTCAAATTCAGATCCAATCGAAACGAAAGCAAGTAAAAATAGAACAAAAAAAAAAATACACGATCGAAACAGAGAGAGAGAGAGAGAGAGAGAGAGAGAGAGAAGAAAAGGAGCCAAAGACGAAACGGATGATCGAAATCGAGACGAGCAAAGTGTACAAGAGAAATCACGAGAGGCGATCGTTTCACGGGGAGTCCGTGTCGCCCACATCACCCTGATTGATGATTTCTAATTTCACCAAATCTTCTTTACAGTTCTAGCGTCGCGCGAACATTCACCCCGTTCCTTTCGTTTCGAATTTAGAGTGGACTTCTGCTCGTTACATCGGCAACCTCTCGTTACACGGCCGACCGACCGACAGGCCGCGCGACTGCTCGACGATCCGTGTGCGCGCAGTTCCATACGTCGCCGGGGAAAGAAACGAGGCGAGCCAGTTACCTAGTTCGTTCTCCGAGGCGATCAACGGATCCACGCGCCCCCTCTCGCGGCTCCCCTGTTCCGGTTCCCGTCACCCTCGAACGTCACCCTCCGGATAGACACCGCGTGACAGTACGACGACTTTCCTTCGAGAGTCGATTTACCCTGTTGAATTTTCATTGCCTGTGTGACTGCTCCGCGTGGTGGAGCTCTCTACAGTTCTACTGAATAATTCGTTCGTCCGATCGCTAAATTCATTCGGACATAATTAGAAGCAGAGATTCGTTCCGAATGGCAGTTTCGTTTCCCAACGAAAGCAATGAAAAATTTTCGCCAACGACAATCGAAGCGTCCTCGTGTTGTCACGAGTAATCACTTTCCGTGACGATCGATGATTTTTCGCCCGCGACTCGTCGCTCGACGATCCCTTGTCGTCGAGGAACAGCGGGGTGAGCGCTGCGTTCCCGTCCGAACTCGAGGGGTTGAACTCGGCGCCGCGTCGACACACCTCAGGCACACCCTGCGAATCCCCTGTTTCTGAAAAAACAACGTCACGACTCTGTGACCCGAGTGAAGGTGATCTCTCTGCGTGTCTCTTAACAGAAACGTTGAGAGGGAGAGAGAGAGGAGGGGGGGGTGGGAGGGGGAGAAAGAGGGAATCGAATTAGGAAGAAGGGCTGTTTTGAGAGCGCGAATGCGGCGACCGACTTCAACCTCCCCAGCCGGCGTGGAAACGAGTAACGGAGAACACAGACGACGGCTTGCGACGGGGGTGCAAACTCGTCGAAAGTAGAGAGTGAAAACGGAGGTAAAGAAAAAAAAAAAAAGTAAAAAAAAAAAAGCATCGAACGGGAGGTAGTAGCTCGCACTACCCCTCGACAACTAAGAGACAGAGATCGTAGCGTGAGAGATAGAGGCAAACTCGGCGCAGTGAAGACAGAGATAGTGAGAGAAACGAGTAATAAAGGAAACAGCGTACATAGAGACCGATAGAGACACAGATAGAGAAAGAGCGAGAGAGAGACAGAGCCGACCACCTGGTGAATAAACTGCGAGAATTAACGAGAATTAACCAAAAAAAAAAAAAAAAGAAAGTCTGTATGTGTTCGCTCGTGTTTTTTGTCAGCAAAANAAAAAAAGAACGTTGTCGAAATCTGAGAAAAAAAAAAAAATTTTTAAAATTAAAAAAAAGTTGCTTTTCGTTTCTCGTCACCTCGAAAGGCCGTCGTCCGTCCCTGACCCTACCAAAGTGTGTTTTGCATTGCAGACTACCAGATGCGCAATGTTAACGTGAGATCGGTCAACTCTAAACGAAGGAAAACACCCTCCTCTTCCTGCTTGTGAGTCTCTCAGTTTCGGTGTTTCGTAACTAATTCCACCTATGATAACTACACTGTTCTCTAAACCAAATTATATTATTATTATATTATTATATTATATTATATTATATATACATATATGACGTTGTTGTAATGGATCGAGACGTACGTTGACCTATGACCTTGCCTTTATATATATATATATATATTCGTATATATACACACAAATATATATATATTCTCTCTATATACGTTACATACAACTTACATACAGACATTCTGTGTGATCACACGTGATACATATTAACATATAACACCGCGTGTCTCGCATACTTCGTCTATTACGCAACTGCGTGCGGGACCCGATGGGAATTCCTGGCCGAGACGAGAGATATTCAGAAAATCCTGTGGCTTCTATTTTTCATTGAACACCGGATAGAGACCGTTTCATCGGCGAGATGATTATTCCTCGAGTTTCCAAGGAATTCTATCAACAGAAGATCGCAAAGACAGTATTATCGGCAGGGCCATTAATTGGAGAATCGATTTAAAATTCCGGAGGATATTTAGAAAGGAAAAAGAGGAAAGAAAACAAGGGAACTCTGCTCCAAAGAAAATACTTGTGGCAGAAGAAAATTCGAACGAAAGATCGAACGTTCAACGATATCGATTTCATCGTTAACTCGTCGACGAACGAGGAGAAGGGATCTGATCAATGAAAAAAAAAAAAAACGACCCGCTTTCTGATATTTCCTGTTCGCCAGCGAAGTTTCCAGCGGAACCCAGCGCGGACCGGAAGCGGCGCGACACCGTTCTTCGCCTTTTCTTATTTTTTCGTTCAGCCTCGAACGTTGATTTCCGATTACGGATCGATCTAACGATCGATCTCCTCGCGATTTTCATCAGTTATTGCAATCCTTCGTTCTGCCATGAACTGCTCAACGCAGGCTTCTTCCTCTTCTGTTCACAACACATTTACTCTCGCTCTTTACGTAAATTCTTTTCCTCTTTCGTTTCGTTTCCGCGATGCAGTCGCCGTGATTTCGCATCGCTTTCGTAAACCTCGTGCAAGAGCGACTCGTGCAGCTCTCGCAAGCGTTAATCGAATGCTACTGCTAATGGAAGAGAAAAATAACTGCAAAGGTTAAAATCAGAAAAGGGATTTAAGCTAGCTTATGTTTCTTTTTAAAGAATAACGATCTTCAATTGCGAATTTTCGAGGTAAAAAAGAAGGTGAAAAATTCAGACGAATCCCCGAGACGAGTTTCGACAAATGAAAATACGACTCTCCCAACCCGATGGATCCTTTGTACGCGAGATCTGCACGAATCGATCTTTGCCATCCAAAAGTATCATTTCTCGCTGAAGACGGCTACATCTCTCAAAAAATACGAACTGAAACATTCGCGTGGAAATCGGCTTTCTTCCCTGTCTTGTTCCACGTGAACGCGAGAACAGCGAGAAACTCAAAGAAAAACGACCAGCGCGGTTTGTCGTCGTAGATATTTCCGTGATTTTGTTTGTCTCTTCTTCATCGTCGATTTCGCGAATTTTTCGAGAAGATCTCGTTGTGTTTCTTTTCTTTTCTTTTTTGTTTTCCGGGGGAAGATGGCGAGCGCCGTGCGAACACGCAGACGTACGCTGCGTGGCTCGTTCGAGCAGAGTCTCGTCTCGTTCCTGACGATC